ATCATAATAATTAGAGCCATTTTTGGATCTGCTATACAGTGGAGAAATGGCTTTTCCCTGTATCTTTTGGAAAAGTAGGCGATATAATAGGGTCTTTCATATCATATTCTGACTAAGCCAGCATTTTCCCAGCCAATTTCTCCCCCAAATCAACAATAAATTAATAAATAAATCATTGCAAATAAAATCTTCTGAGATTTAATTTAAGACCTAGTTGTGGCACCACAGTCCCCTAAGCATCTTGTCTAGACTTTGCACTAAAATAAGTTAGCATGAAATATGACCCATATGTAAGTGATAAAATATAAATGTTCTCCCTCTGCAGCAATGAGTATATATTTATGAGTATAAAACGAATCACCCAGAATCCACAGCTTAGAAACAATTGTTGCTAAGATTTTCATTTATGGCCTTCTAGTCTTTACGTATAGTTGCATGTGTTTGTATAATTTAATAAGTAATTTGGTTTATACCCTACATATACTAGTAAACCATATCATTTTAAAAAGATTTTTTCTTGATTTTTAGAGAGAGCAGAAGGGAGAGGGAGGGAGAGAGAAACATTGATGTGAGAGCAAAACATCAATCGGCCACTCTGACTGGGGATCAAGGCCAAACCTAGGCATGTGCCCTGACTGGGAATCGAACCAGCAACCCTTCGGTGCATGGAACAATGCTCAACCAACTGAGCCATACCATCCAGGGCTAAACCATATCTTTTAATTTACTTTATATCCCAAACATTTCAAAAAAAACAAAAAACACACACCACAGATTTTTTATTACTGCCTGGTATTTCAGAGTATAGATGTGCATAATATATTTAATTTATCATTTAATTTATTTCTCTCTTTTTTTAAATAATATATTTTTAAAAAAATATATTTTATTGAGTTTTTACATAGAGGAAGGGAGAGGGATAGAGAGTTAGAAACATAGATGAGAGAGAAACACCGATCAGCTGCCTCCTGCACACTCCCCATTGGGAATGTGCCTGCAACCAAGGTACATGCCCTTGACCGGAATCGAACCCGGGACCCTTGAGTCCACAGGCTGATGCTCTATCCACTGAGCCAAGCCGGTTAGGGCTAAAAAATATATTTTTATTAAATTCAGGGAGAAAGGGAAAGAGAGAGAGAGAGAGAGAGAGAGAGAGAGAGAGAAGTAGAGAGAGAGAGAGAAACATCAATGATGAGAGAGAATTATTGATTGGCTGCCTCCTGCATGCCCCCCCACTGGGGATCAAGCCAGCAACCCAGGCATGTGCCCTGAGGGGGAATCAAACTGTGACCTACTAGTTCATAGGTCAATGCTCAACCACTGAGCCATGCAGGTTGGGCTCATCTAATTTATTTTTAATCCCTTAAAATAAGTTTTAATGAAACCATTAAAGATTCAAAATTTAGCTTTCATATTTATTAAAACATAAAAATCCCCTGAGTTGATATTTACTGAAATTCACTAGTATTTTTTTTCATTAATTCTTCACATGATTTTTGAGTATCTGCCATCTACACATCCTCTGTGAAAGATACAAAGAAAATCTGCTTTGAGCCCAGACTTTGCACAGTTTGCGTTGAGCGTTTTCCTGCAGGAAACGTGGGCCTGTTTGGAAACTGAGTTGTCAATCTACACTGACAGCTGTCTCCTCAGGCCAGCAATGACTGACCCAGTCAAATTGAACTCTTAACAGCATTTGCAGAAAAAACAGTGATACTTGCTGAAGAATTCCTACTGTCATTGTTATTTTGATTTAGGGTAGGAAAAACAGAGGAGGGGACGGCAGTTTATCAGAGGGACTAGAAATCAGAAAAATTATTTTAGAGACAGTGCATATTTCCAAGTAATCCCCACTGAGAACAGGTGTTGAAGCCTAGAAAATGCGTTCTGACTCTACAGTTTATCTGTATGTTTATTCGGCCTGTTGCTTCCTGAGCATCACAGGAAACTAGTTGACAGTGAAATACAGTGTTGGTCTTCCAGTCCCAAGATCTGGTCTTTGCTATTTCCTTTGCTGCTTTTTATTAGGGGGCCTAATACTAATTGATTTACCCCCCCCAAACTTCAAGCTAAATTTGAGGGCAACTAAAGAAAATACATGAAATAGATATAATGTATTAATTGCAGAATATCACACAACTTAGGTTAATTTGTATTATGGATATGGATGCCTTAGGTGAGAAAACCACATCCTTTCAAATGAGTAAATTCCTTAAATTAGTTCAAAAGTTCCCAAATCCTTTCTGAGAATGGGATAATTTTCATTATTCTAAAACCGAGAGAGAGAGAGAGAGAGAGAGAGAGAGAGAGAGAGAGAGAAGGGAATGTTAGTAGAAGCCCCAGGTGTATGTCCCTGGTTCAGAAGATAGATAGGTAGGTGAGAATCCCATTGTCTGCTGACTGTGTTACCCCCTAATCTGGCTAAGGACACCTGCTTGGTGATCTGACAAGTGAAGCTTTGAAATCTATTGGTGGGTCCTCTCTGCTTGGTTGAAAGTGCACCTGCTCTAGGCTCTTGAATAATCTTTGCCAAACTTTTCACTAACTCCTGTTTCTCCACAGTGATGTTCAATCATGTCTAACCCACAACCTGGGTGACCGACTCATTCCAGTTTTCCCAGGACTAGCACTTGAAAGATCCTGGGAACCCTCACAGTCGTAGGCAAACTAGAGTGGTTGGTACCAGGCCAGAAGCTTGGAGTGACGTCTGGATGCCATGATAAAAAAAATCAGAGTAGATGGCTTCCTGTTTGAAAGTAAAATTTCTAGAATGATGTGCATATTTGCCTTCTCTGAAATACATAGAAATAGGCCACTCCTACTTCTATGTAGACTGGCAGGTGGGTCACACAGCTCAGTGGTCGGGGAGTCCAACTCAACCTTCAGTCCATACTTTGACTCAAAGATCTTCTCATTCCCCTCATACTGCTTAGTTTTGCCTTTATATGAAATATAAACTGAATTGAGATTGGTGAAGACAGTTGGAAACAAATCATAAGAAAATTAAATTTTGGGCCTATACAGAGAACAGAATTATTAAAGAGGGAGAAGCTATAGTACAGATGCGGCATCAAACTACACTCTTAAATGCAAGATAAGATTACTATCTTATTTGACAAATATTCTATTGTGCATCACTCCTGCTAGAATGTGGTGCATAAAGTATCAATTGATAAATTTGACTCTGAAATGTTTTTTTTGGGCCCAGTTTAGAGGGAAGTAAATTATGCTTCAAGAGTCAACATTCATTCAGATTGCAAACATTTGATATGTTTTCTGTTGTCATTGAAAACAACAGGCAGCTATAAATTCTCAAAAATTGATAAGGATGCAGGAAACTTTGGAAGCAAAATCTAATTTCCTTCAGAAAAGTGGATAGAAGTCCTTTCCCGTGCAGGTCAACTGCGTATTTGCAGCTTCTTATTAGAATTTCTAAGTCACAGCAGAATGATACTGGGTGACTGCTAGGATGGTAAGGCCCACGTTAGAGCTTTAGTTTCACATAGTGATTTATGACTAAATCTGGCAATGAACTTTTAAAAGAAGTATTATTTCTCTAAGTCCTTATTTCTCTTAGAGAAATAATACCAATGTTTCATCCAAGCTAGTTAAAACATTCTTACCTGATGAAATCTCTGGATAGAGAGGAAAATACTTTCTTGAGATATTGTTACACTGTGGGCATTTCTTGAATTAAAATGTCATTCAGCAAATATTTATTTCTTTATCAGTTATTTAATCTAAAAATATAAAAGTTTGCACAAAATTATTTGAAAGCTTGGAGGGTTAATTACGTGGTTGCTTACCTTTTTATTGAGCTTCGATATCTCAGCTTTTCCTTGAATGACATTCAGCTGCCCTCCGAATCACAGAGGGAAAGAACAAGCAGAAAGTACTACTGCATGACATTATGACTGATGGGCTATGTGAGAATTTACATTTCATCAAAATATTTGGATCAGAAGTTTTCCCCTTAGTTAAATTAAATCCTATATAAAATAGATGACTGAGGTCTAGAAAAACAAATCTCTTTGCTTAACAAAAAGTATGAAAAGAGTCCTTAGGGGTAGCAAAAGGAAAATTGGTCTTGGAAACAAAGGATTTGGTTTGGAGTCCTACCTTTACCATAACTGGTTATCTCACTTTTAGTAAATCATTTGGTGTCTCTGAAGTCCATCATCAGGGAAATGAGACAATAATCTGAGTCGTTATTATGAGGCCAAAAGCAACGGACATGGTATAATGCAGTAAGAAGTTATTTATTTATTTATTTATTTATTTATTTATTTATTTATTTATTTACTTACTTTCTGCTAGTAAACATCAAGTTGGGTTCATTTTTTTCTGGACCAAAAATAACTATAGTTCACAATGGAATGTGTTAAATTAATAGCTAGGACTGGAATCTCAGAATAGTGACATATGCCTTTTCAGTTTAGAGAAGCAACATGTGCTCTAACCACAGTGTTAGTCTTTTGATCTTAAAAAATGTACTTTCAACATCAATGTTAGCAGGTATAAATTGAAAATAAGCTGTCACAGTAAACAGAAGTAACTTACAGTAAAATTAGCACGATTTTGTCAATTGGCACAGTCCATATCACTGAAAGATTTGCTATCACTCGGGCAAATCCTTTATTTATTGGTGATTTCTACTTATGACATAAATATCTCATTCATTCATTCAGAATATTTCAAGTCATGATCATTCAATATTTGCTTCAGAGTTTGGCTTCAATTTGATTAGCAGATCACTCCCTATCTCCAAGAGTTTGTTTAAAAAATCTTTCTTTCTTTATAAGGAATGATCTCCTGAACTATTAGGATTTTCAGTTGTATCCCACGTTCAAAAACAAAGGCTGGCATAGATTATTGTTCTGCCTCAATAAACTCTTGGATTTTTGAGCTTTACAATGAACATGAGATTCTTCCACCTTCAGAGACTGAGGACAAGTGTACTAACCTGTCTTGTACTTCTCTCTGGTTGTTTGCCTCCACAGCAACCCCCCTGAGCTCACTTAAGCCTCCGAGGGTGGACACTGCTCCGGTGGTCACATCTCCCTATCAAAGAAGAGATTCAGACAGGTACTGTGGGCTCTGTGCAGCCTGGTTTAATAATCCCCTGATGGCCCAGCAACATTATGATGGGAAGAAACACAAAAAGAATGCGGCAAGAGTTGCTTTATTAGAACAACTTGGGACAACTCTGGATATGGGGGAACTACGAGGTAAGAGAAACTCTGCTAATTTCTACCCCAGAACTGGGCTTTCAGAGAAAGGTTTGTGTTTTCACAAATTGGCATGATTATTCTTATTAAGTAGACTCATCCAAAGGAATAGAAGAAAAAGGAAATGAGCAGAAAATTAGCTCAATTTTTGTGATCCCCTTTGTTTCAAAGAGTTTATTTCCCTGTTTTTATTGACTATTTTTTCAGATCAAAGCCACCCATCCATAAGCCAGATATTTTTTCTTCTGCTTTATCTTTAAACACCTTCTCTAATGAGTGCTTTGTACATGAGCAGTATGAGAGAAGATGCTAAAAAGGCCAAATAGCATGATCTTATTTTAACATTTTGTGCTATTATGAATTCAGCCAAAACAGGACAATACATTGACTTCCTTTGATGGCTTAAAGCAAACCCAAGCCCCTTTAATAGGAATATCCTTGAAATTGATGCAAGGTGTGCTGTGTGCCATGTTATAGTCAATACCAGTGATCCCACCCCATTTTGACAGGTATTTTCTTAATTGATGGAAACCATGCAACATTCAAAGTTCATCTAAGGCAGTGGTTCTCTACCTTCTGGCCCTTTAAATACAGTTCCTCATGTTGTGACCCAACCATAAAATTATTTTCGTTGCTACTTCATAACTGTAATGTTGCTACTGTTATGAATCGTAATGTAAATATCTGATATGCAGGATGGCCTTAGGTGACCCCTGTGAAAGGGTCGTTCGACCGCCAAAGGGGTCGCGACCCACAGGTTGAGAACTGCTAAGGTTTCCCAGCAGCTGCTGAGCAGAAAACTGGAAACTGTAGGGTGAAGATTAATCCTGTGGATTTCTTAGGAGGCCATATACCAATCTGTGGGACTTTATAGAATATTTCATCATCAATAACCATTTAAGCATTTTTGATCACCTACACATTTTTAATCAGCTTAATGTTGACAGTGTAGAACAAAATCACATATATGTTTTTCTGAGAAAATGCATTTTCTCAGAAAACAATTATGTGAAGGGTGCTATTGACAATATACGTCAGATGTTGTTTGAGTGTGATAAGCTTTTATGGATTGGCCAGGGCATGGTCAGCGCTGTAATAACAACGTTTACAAATCAATTTTCCAAATGTAACCTAGATTGAAATTGGGTTCTGTGTGTAGAGCCTACAATTCTGATTATCCCCCAACCAGGCTATGAGCCTCCGAGAGGGATGATTGTAGTCAGGAAATTATCTGTTACAATTCTAGACCAAGTAAGTGGAACAGAATCATGCTGTGTGAGCTGAAAGGAGGGACAGGGCACTTCTGATGATATTGGTGAGGAACACTCCCCCAAGGAAAGGGACTTGATTTGGAACTAGAAAAGTGGGTAGCATTTCAGCAGAATTCCGTGTGAGCAGCATTATATATGTGCAGGCAAAGAGGCAGGGGAACAGAAGCAGTTAGCTGGCAAATAAGCATGTTCTTCTGAATCCTCTGATGACGCATGTATTTAAGATTGGAAGTCCATTAGTACATACACAGAACTTGATTGGAAGTCCATTAGCACATATACAGAACCTGATTATTCCAAGATATGTGATTAAAAATGACAAATAAGAGCGAACAATACTTTACTTATGTGTATGTTTTCTAGCTGAAGAAAAACAACACGGGCCTTAATATTTTTCTAAGTTGAATAGTCTCATTGCAGAAACTTTTCAACTGTTGTTATTATTGCTTTTTGTTGGGGGATTTCTTATGTTCTCAATCTATGACTTGTGAAAAAAGACAGAAGGAGTCTCTCCATAGCTGAAGGCCTCCACCACTCACTGTACTGGCAGATAACAAGCTGGCTCGGTGACTCTTTCACGGCAGGGCACTGAAGGAGAAAACTAGGGCTTTATGCATGTTCTGTGCCAGATAGTCTGACTTAGAGAAGAATTATTCCTAGAGCAGATTCTTCTTGTCAATTTTGAATTATCAGTGCTGCATCTTTTATGTACAGCCACATCTTAATGACTTGGGCGCCTGAATTCTGTTATATTTGAGCAGCTTGTCTTTTATACAGAAGACAAAAAGAGCTGCACTATGACTTGGTACCACGTGAAATGTGATTAGCATTGAACACAGTGTCCTTGAAACCAACCCTCTTACCTACCCCAGGTGACATCTTGATATAGATTTATTCAGGCATTAAATATTGCAAAAGCTTGAGGAATAAAACAATGATGATAACTCAGCACATTTTAAAACACACACACACACACACACGCACACACACACACATATCCCTATTTCTGGAGTGCTTCTAATACATGATTAATCAATTAGTAAGGACAAAAGTGCTAATCAGTTAATAAAAGCATAACCATAACTTTTTAAAAATGGTGTCAAGCAGTTGGACATCATATGGCAGTATCACAGACTTTGTTTCTCAGCACGTCTCAGTTTTTTAAATAGTACATTTACTTGTGTATTATGGTTTTCCTAATAATCTATTTTTCACCCTACTTCCCTCTATAGATTATTATCAACTTGAAAGTAGGCATCTCTATCTGTTTTGCTCACCTAGATGTTGTCAAAACACCTAGAACAGTGGCAGCCACATAGTAGGTACTCATAATTGCTGAATAAATAACCCCCCCAAAAAATCCAAAATTTAAAAATCACCTAAAATCCTACATTCTTAATATGGCAATCATTTTCATTTCTAAAAGGATCCTGATTGAATAATTTTTACAGGAAATTATTTATGATATTTTCCTCTAATTTAAAAATGTATATTTTACATATTGTCACATGAGGAGGCATTAAGTGTTATAGTTCAGAGTTTTAACAATGCAAACACCTGTGTAATCACACCCCTGTCAAAATACACAGTTTCTCCATCTTGAGAAATCCCCATGTGCCCCTTTCCAGTCAATCCTAACCTCCCACTCCAGGGAACCACTTTTCTCATTTTTTCACCATAGATTAGTTTTGCCGATTCTAAAACCTCATAGAATGGAAGCAGAAAGTATGTATTTTTTGTGTATCTAGCTTCTCTTGCATAGCTTATTGTTTTTGAAAGGTATCCACTTGGTGCATATAAAGCAGAGTATCCCTTTTCTCTTTATTACAGAGTGTATTCTACCCCAAATCCCACAGTTTTAATATCCATTCTCCTCTTAATTTTTTTTTGGGGGGGTACTATTTAGAATAAAACTTACATGAACATTTTTTTAACTTTTTGTCAACATATATTGTTACTTCTCTTGGTAAATTCCTAGGAGTAGAATTTGTGGGCCATACATTGGATGTTTTTAACTATATAAGAAACTGCCAGGTGTTTTTTTTTCAATGTAGCTTCATTATTTTGCATTCTTAAAAGAAACATACGGTAGTTTCCCCTTATCCACAGTTTCACTTTCCCTGGTTTCAGTTACCCACGGTAAGCCATAGTTTGAAAATATTAAATGGAAAATTCCAGAAATAAACAATTCATATATTTTAAATTGTGTGCTACCCTGAGTAGCATGATGAAATCTTGTGCCATCCCGCTCATTCCTGACAGGGACGTGACTCATCTCTGTTTAGCATGCCCACCCTGTGAAGCTTCCCAGCCCCCTTAGCCCATTTGTAGCCATCTAGGTTATCAGATAGACTATTGTGGTATCACAGTGCTTGCGTTCAAGTACCCTTATTTTACTTAATTCTGGCCTCAAAGCCATTTACATAACTTTCATTACAGTAGATTGTTATAATTGTTCAATTTTATTGTTACTTATTGTTGTTAATCTCTTATTTTGCCTAATTTATAATTAAACTTTATCATAGGTATGTACACACATATAGGGTTTGGTGCTACCTGTGGTTGTAGGCATCCAATAGAGGTTCTTGGAACATATTTCCCACAAATAAGAGGAAACTACTCTACTCTATATGAATTCCATATTCTCACCAACATTTCTTTTTGTCAGTCTTTATGCTTTGGCCACTCTCCTGAGTGTAGGAGAGTATTTCATTATTGCTTTAATTTGTGTTTGCTAATTGACCAACATGTCAAGCACTTTTAAAAATGTGCTTATTGGGCATTTGTGTATATTCCTCTGAGAAGTGTTTGTTCATGTCTTTTGTCTTTATTTTTCAAAATTTGGTTGTTTGCCTTTTTTATTATTGAATAGTAGGTAGAAGGTTTTCACATATTATCAATATAATCCTTTGTCAGATATATGCATTGCTAATGTTTTTCTCCTAGACAGTGACTTGGCTCTTTATTTTCTTATAGAATATATGGTGAGCAGACATTTAAATTATGGAAGTCTACTTTATCTCCTTATTTCTCTTGTGATTATTATTTTCGTGCCCTATCTAAACAATCTTTGTCTACACTCATGATCAAAGGCATTCTGTATGTTCTCTTTTATAAATTTCATTATTTTAGCTTTTACATCTATGATTATGAGGTATCTCAAATTAGTTTTTTAAACTTTATTTTATTGGTTTACACTATTACAAATGTCCTTTTTCCCCCCTCCCCGCTTTGCCTACCTCCACCCAGCCCTAGCCCCCTCTGCACCCCCTCCCTCTGGCCAACACCACAAGTTATGTGTCTATGGGTTATGCATGTATATTCTTTGGCTGATCCCGTCACCTTTTTTCATCTAGTCCCTCTCCCAAATTAAGTTTTATATATTATTTCAGATAGGTTTTGAAATTCATTTTGTTTTCATACATTTACTAGGTTATTACAGCAAGTTCGTTGAAAATGTTTTCTTTTCCTCATTGAATTGCATTGGTACCTTTATTAAAAATATATTGATTATGTGTGAGTCTATTTCTATACATTCTATTGTGTTCCATTGATTTCTTTTTCTATCTTTATGCCAGTGATTTTTTTTAGCATTACAGAAATCTTGATATTAGGTAGTGCAATTTTTCCAGAATTGTTCTTCTTTCCAAAGATTGTTTGATTGTCCTAAATATTTTGTATTTCTATATAAATCGTATAATTGGCTTTCTAATTTCTACATAGAAAATT